TTTTTTTTTTTTTTTTTTTTTTTTTTTTTTTTTTTCAAAATTTAGTGTTTTGATATTAATTCTAGATTTGATCATTTTATTAGATGATAGAAGCCTTTTTTGTTTTAATATTTTTATTTAAATATATAATATTTTTTTAATAAATGACTATGTGACAATATGACTCTTAATATGATCATATTATATATTTGTATAATATATAATATGATCTTAAACTAAATAATTATGTTTTTTTGGTATAAAATTGAATAAACTGAAAACCGATGGTATATAAACCAAATCAAACTGAAGTACATATAGATTTAGAGTAGTAGTTATATTTTAATGATCGAAATACCAAAAAATCGAGCCGAACCGAAACCTGATATCCGGATTGAACACCTCTAATCCGAGTGAAACCGAACTATTGTTTCATTTTTCAAAACATAATAAAAATAATAGCTTCATCCCGCGCAAGGCGCGAGTCTTATCCTAGTACAGAATAAAGCATAAGAAACATATAAACTACATAGAATATTGATATCTCACGAGCTCATGTTGTCTTATCATCAAAGGGTTACTGCTTCATTTCCGTCAAACGAATCCTCTAACTATCACCTTGAAATCCAAATACGAGACTTAAAATTACAAAGCTGCAAAACTACAAGGTGAATTCTTTGACCTACAAAATCATAAGTTGAATTCAAAAGCTGAGTTTTGTGAAGCAGCATCAAAAGAAGTAATTGCAAGAGGACCATGAACTAATATTAAGAAATTAACACACGGTTTGAACCCTCACTTGAACGATGGAAAATATGAAAATCTCAAACAATTTTATTTGACTTTTGTTACAAATGTTCTCAGCCGGTGAAGCTGACTTTGGAACCTAGAAATTGTCATGCTTTTTTACTGTACCTGGAAGTCATACAGAGAATAAAGAAGTGTTCCGAACTTTAGTGATAAAGTACATACCCAAGAGTGAAATACACAAGAATGGATAACCTAGCACCTGGTGCAAGGAGTCAACCATTCTATTTTATCCACATGAACACATAATCCTTGTTTTCGCTAGTAGAATTTTTAATCGAATCTGTTATGCTGATTACAAAAAATAATAAATAAGAAATTAACTAGAAATACTATTGAGTGTTTATTGATTTATTGATCTGCCCATTTGGATGTGGTATTTATTGGGTTTGGACAATTTTTAGATCGCTGCTTCATCATATACTTACCAACTATGGCCCAAAAAAATAATGGTCCTTGTAGAACTTGCTTGTCTCTTAAGAAAACTCAGAATTCTGCTGTTTAAGACAATAAGAAAAAGCCAAAATGAGCATGGCTCATCTCTGATCTCCATTTGAAGATTTCTCAATGATCATGAGCACTTTCGCTACTGGGACTATGCTAGTCAACGTATGGCTTTCGTAACTCGCATGTTGCATCCTATATCTGCCAACGAAGCAACGCTGTAACCAGCGAAGCAGCTACGTTTAAATATGTCAAAGAAATATTAAAAAAATATTCTTAATTCATATTCCCTCGAACTAAATGATACTTTCGAGCATTAGTATTTTGGTATAGCATTATTGGACGATGAGGCCCTGGAAGAGAAAGAACGTGAAGGAACAGAGCGAATGGTTCTTGAAGAATGGCAGCACTTTCCTGCAGGAACTCATTGCTGACTCTAACGGTATTTCAAACCCGATCCGGTTCTTCTCTTCTGATCAAATCCTCAAGGCTACGGATGGATTCGATCCCAATCGTTATCTCTCTCGTCATAGATTATTCAGCTGGTACAAGGGTGTCATCGAAGACCGACCTTACGCGATCAAGAAGTTCACTGAGTCAGAATTTACAGCTGAGAGGGACCGAGAGGTTTACAACGACATCGTCTTATCTGCTCGGGTAAGCAATCTCAGTAGTTTTCTCAAACTTTTGGGATGTTCTCTCGAGTTTCCCCTTCCGGTTATGGTATTCGAGTACCCAGAGAATGGAGTTTTGAACGAGTTAGGAGGTTGCGTGGAGTGCACGTTACTGCCTTGGAATGTTCGATTGAGGATTGCCAAGGAGGTAGCAGTTGCTGTGACTTATCTTCACACGGCTTTCCCTAGGATTATAATACACAGAGATGTCAAGCAGACGAATGTTTTCTTGGATAAGAACTGGAAGGCTAAGCTCACTGATTTCACGTTTTCAGTAACACTCCCTGAGGGGAAGTCATGGATTAAAGATGAAGTGATGGGAACTTTGGGATACATAGATCCTGTTTATGTTATGAAAGGCTTAGTGACACAGTACACAGATGTGTTCAGCTTTGGAATCTTTATGTTGGTTCTTCTGATGGGAAGACCAGCAATTTTTGCTTTATCAAGTGGTCTTAATTGTAATATTCTAAATTATTTGAAGGGTCTGCGAGAAAGAGGAGAGCCCGTAGATTTCGGGGGTGGTTCAAACGACATGAGGCCTTGTCAGATGAAAATGTTTCTCGACCTGGCATTGAGATGCTGTGAGAAGAGGAATGAAGACAGGCCAAATATGATCTTGGTGGCAAAAGAGATTAAGCTAATAGGACAAGGGTCACTCGATTTTTCTGTGGATGGTTAGATTTAAGATTATGTTAATGCCCAGTAGGGTTGTGTATTGCTGGATTTCTTACCTTTTATAGTATACTAGGGGCGGCCCGGCGCGTAGCGCCGGATTGGAAGTTTGGTTTGTAAATTTTTTTTTCCAATTTACGAAGACGAAAATATTGAGTAATGGGTTTTAGTACAACATCCGATAAGTGAAGTGATAATCATTTATATTTCATTGCTTTTGAGAATTTTTTTTTTATTTGTGTTGGAGATATGAATGAATTTATTATTATTTTTATTTTATTTATAAAAAATGCAAGTGATAAGCCAGCCATGGTAAAACAGTAAAGATCCACCTAAACCTCTTACTTTAACCAAAACTTGAAAATAAGGAAATAAGCTAAAGAAGAACTTGAACGGCTGATCGCTAAGAATGTTTGGCATTATAATTGTGATGAGGTTTACATGGTCTTTTGGTTGTATGGTTTTTATTTATCAGTTTTATAGAATTTTATTTTATTTTAAAGTACCTTTTATTTCTGGTTATTATTACTTGAAAATATGTTGGTTACTCGGTCTTTTGTAGAGAATGTTAAGTTTTTCTAACTATTAAAACTTAGATCTTATTTGGGTATAGAATTAAGATGTTGAGATTTTGGATAGAGATTAAAAATATAAATGGATGAAATCTACTTTTTTACCTTTTAAATACACCTTTAAAAGCAAATATGTCTTACTAATCCAAAAAACAAAACAAAAAAACAAAATCAGTAGTGGTCATACATGGATGAAGTACCACTCTCTGCAAAAAGTTAAAGTATTTAAACCTTAAAGGTTACAATGGTGTGTATGTGAGAAACATATAAAAAGTGAATCACCTGGAAGCGGGGTATTTGTGTTGGCTAGCGAAGCAGTTCACTGTGGTTACGGAACCGGAAGTGCTCTTCCGAGATTGGAATAATTTGTTTCTTTATCTCAACAAACCGGGATGAATCACTGAACCGTATCAACAAAAGAGTGTATGAAAGCCTAGTGACATCAAAGCTGCTCAAAGAGAACATAGAACCCTCCTTCAAGAGTCGCCGGCAAGTGGAAAGACAGTGAACATTGATGGTGGCATGCATGAGTGTGGCTGTAAAACGATTAAAACAGAAAATACAATAAACAACCGGATTTAAAACCATATCCCAAAGAGAAATATAATTTCAAAATCATAATCTTGATAAATCTCTTTGCCACTGTGATTTTTTTTTAACGCTTATGATTGAGAGGATCAAACTGATGATTTTCAGGGAAGAGGATGTACCTTTTTATAGTTGAAGATTTAGAGAAAAGGAGTAAAGAGTGGATGCATTCATTGATGAATCTTGTGAGGAATGGGAACTATTGTAGTTATTGCTTTAAATACTACGCTTGGATTCAACATGATTCTCTAACGTTTTGCAGATTTTTGTCGTCAGGAAGATGAACTAAAGAAGATCGAAGACGGAGAGAAGCTGTTTGTTATAAATAGATTACCCTAACATATTAACATAGCCCAATTTCGATTTTGTGTGGCATGAAAACCCATACGTAATTAGAGAAATAACCCAATATTAGCCCAGTAAATACTCAACCAGGTTTGTCATCGCTTTTCATTAATACACGTGGCATGTTTTGATGAACCTATTATCCTACGTGGCTGAGCAAGAGGGAATTGTGATCACGTAATCTAAACCGCTCCTCAGGTATTGGAGCCACTGGTTCGGTTAACTCAACAAATGCAGTTGAATTCACTAAGCCGGATCATTAGAGCAGAGTCGGTTAGCCTAAAATTATGGTTGGACCATGCCACATCAACCCGGCTCAATGAGAAAAGAGACCCAGCCTTCAGACGTGGTAGGAACATGTCAAGACGGTTGACATTCACAGTTTCGGGCATGAGAGTTGACTGCAAAATTAAATGGACAACAAACAAAAAAAGTGATTAAAGATTCATTAGGATCTCAGAATAGAGTTACAAATTCATGTGTTTAATGGAATCAAGAAAATTAAGAAAACTATATGAAAAACAAACAAAAAACATGAATAAAGATTCATCATTCAAAGGTAGTTCATTCAGATCGTGGGATAGAGTTCTAAATATAATTGTGTTTAATAGACTTTGGAAAATTTTCTGAGGAACAAACAAAAAAACATGATTACAGATTCATAATCAAAAGGTGTTTCATTTAGAACAGAGAATAGAGTTTCAAATCTTCATGTGTTTAATCGACAAAATATGTGCTATAAAAAAGGTTTGAGTTAATTGATGAACGGAATACCTGAGAGTCGATGAAGATCATATCAAGGCCCAGCAGTTCACCACCGCGACCGACGTTTCTTGCTTCTCAGAAACGGAGAAGCCGGACTTCAACCCTCGAAGAAGAATGCCCTGCCGCCAAATCACAGAGAAACACGGTTTAATTAGCCATTAAAACGATTAAGATGTATCTGGAGCTAAAGAGAATTGGAATGATGATTCAGAGTGTATGATGGTGACCTTTTATAGGGGTTAATACACCGCCCATGAGATGATAGAGAGTCATTAATTTCGAAAACGTGGGTGAAGAGTTAATAACTCATTGATGATGGAAGATCATGGGAGAAGTGTCTGCCTGTGTTCTTCCTTGGCGGCCATTGATGGATGCCCTATTCTCTCTCGAAGAAGACAACACTTGAAGTGGAGAAAGAACGTAAACACTAATATTTAAGTCTTGGGCCACATTTATCAAATTCCTGGCCCAGAATTTTTAAAGCCTCACCATAAATCCCGGCTCACCATATAACGCGAACAAAACGGAAACGTCCACTAAATCCGACACGTGGCATCCGCTAGGTAAATTATTTGATGACGTGTCCTCACCTTGAGGGAGAAAACCGAACTTTATATATATAGATAATTTGCAAAACTTTATTTTAATTATGAAAGACTTTCTAGGGTAAATTTCTCAAGTCTGAAAGATCTCAAAACTGGAGAAGCTTGAGCTTGTGTACAGATTCTGCGTAAAGGTGTGGATAAGAGAGCGAAGATGATTGATGTCGTCAAGAAGCTTAAACGCATACATAGAGATCACTAAGCTGATACACCCGCTGGTCCTAGCTCTCAAAACTCAAAGTAGACAAGATTGATGGATCTCAAAATCTACTTCAGAAATTAGTGTGAGACTTAGACTAACGTGTCGAATAAAGTAATCTACGGAAAGATTGTCTATTGATGATCTTGTGTAAAAATGTGTATATTTTTAATTTTCTGAGCTTTTACAAATTAAGACGAAGTGCTGAAGGGTCTAAGAAAAAGAGAGTATAATAGTAGTATTTAGGTTATCTCTATAATATTATTTTGATAAATAAATTTCTTATGTGTCGCGCTCATACTAATTATAGAGACATCCCTAATGAATTTAAAACATTACATTTAAGTATAATTTTTAATTTTTATTTCGTAATTTCTGTTAATTTGAATTTTAATTTAGTTTATATTTTACTTTTCCCAAATAACATATATGAATAAAAATAAACATTTATAAAGTTTTAAAAAGAATTAAGAAAACGAAAATATATGTATATACAATATGATTTCATTAAAATGAAAATTTTAAAAGTAGTAATATTGCCTTTAAACATATTTTGGAATAACATAAATAATACTTTCAAAAGAAATAAAAATATTTTATTTATATCTAGATTATTATTAGATGAAAGAAAAATATATTTGTTTATAATGTGATTTCAAAAAAAAAGTTCACAAAGATAACCTTGATACTAAAAAAATAATTTAGTTTAAAAATAATTTTATAATAGAAAATATATATTTCTGAGTAATAGAATATTTTCTTTATATAATTATATCTATCAATTTTCTTAGATGGTTACATTTAGTAATTAAGTAGCATAAACAATATATGTTTAATTGACTAAAAATAGTTTTTAATTAGTATTATTGAAATATTTATTTCTGTTTTCATAACCTTTAGTTTACCATAAATAACTTCTAATCACAGAAAAAAATAGCTATAAATTATATATTAATTACTGAATTCTCAAAAGCAATCATAAAATTTTAGTACTTATTTTTAAGAGATATTAAAAAGAAACCAAATTTTTTTTACAGTAAGCATATTCTGATAAAACAATTTAAAAGTCATTTTAAATAGCATAACACTATATACATTTAATGAGGTAAAAATATTATATTTCATCATTATTTAATTTTTTTTCTTAATAAAATAGTTTGCATTTTAATTGGATGTGTTTTTATGATTGTGAAACTTAATATAATCAAAATACTCAGGCAAATTTGAATTTTCAGTTTAAAGATTATTTAAAAAAAAATTCAGTTTACCTTTCAATAGATCTAAGGATAAACCTATTAAGAATTTATAGAACATTTTGATTATTTTAAATATTGACATGCAGACATGAGCTTCTAAAAGTTTATCAGTTATACTTATAATTATGTATATAAATTTATGGTGATCAACTCTTTATTTTTAATATTGTTTTAAAAAAGAATAATAGATATGAATTATAATTTTCTTGTAAACTTTTTTGCACATTGTAGCAATAAATACAACTAATTTGATTTGATTTGATTTAATTATAATAACAAAATAATTATATTTCTGTTTGAATTTAAAAGAAGATATGGAACTCAATATATTCACAAAATGAGTAACTGAACTAATCCAACTTATACCCAACAATGAAAGATCTAACTACAATAAAAGCATATAATTTTAAATAATAATTTATTTTTTAGACATATAAATTACACGATTTCTCAAAACATATTAATAAAGAAAAATAAACTATCAACAAATTGTTGCAATTTTGTTCTTTGGTAAAATTTATATATATGCATGAAACGTCATAATATTATCCTTATATGCATTTATGTAATTTTGAATCAAACACTTTAGTTTATTTATTTTTATTTCATACTAAACACAATATATATTAAGTTATACATAATCTTACTTAAATATATTTACATATTTTAAATAATAATCA